GAGAGAGAGAGAGAGAGAGAGAGAGAGAGAGAGAGAAAGAGAGAGAGAGTTGAACACATTTATTACAATTTTAAAGCAATTTGGAAGCCTATCAGTGCACCTCAATCATTATAATAAAATAAATTTAATGCCTATGTATTTTGGCATTTGATTTTGGGTTTTTTGTCATAGAAAATCAGAGCTCCCCCTACCCCCTTTGCTCACCAGGTTATGGGGCCAGCTGCAGCTGTCTGTCCCATCCCCTCTGCTCCTTTGTGATGCTAAGCAGCCCCGATATGCCGATGCCCTGCCCCTCACTCCCAACCCACAGCCCCCCCCAACCCTGCCAGTACCCCTCACTCCTGACAACACAGGCCCCTGCCCCCAGGCACCAGCCCCCCAGTGGGAGGAAGGATGTGGGTGTGTGGCAAATGGGGAAGGGTGGGGTGTGAGGAATGGGGAGGGGGTGTGGGCACAGGCGACATGTCAGTAAGGCAGGAGGGCACAGCTGACATATTGGGGTGCGAGGCACAGGTGATGCAGCAGAGAGTTTCAAGGGTGGCATGTGCCCCCCCTTTCACCCACAGTGGGTGTGGGACTGCAGCCTGGCTGGACCAGCTATGGGCAAGAGCCACCTATGGGGGTCCAGGGGACAAGACCCAAAATGGGAGAGAATGCTGCAATGCCATGGCCACCAAGGTGAGGTGCAGCAGTGGTAGCAGTGCCAAGTTGTCTTTCTGCTGCTGCCAACTGGGAAGGGGGCACCTCATGTTGGCCGTCATAGTAGCATGGTGCTCCTTCCCACTCTGGCTCCTACTTACTGGGTCTCAGAGGCAGCTGCTGCCTGGAGCTGGTCCAGCCTGGCTGCAGCCCCACACCCTGCTATTAGTGTAGAAATGTTGGGGAGAAAATCCATGTTTTTCCATAGCAAATGGAAAACCTGAATCCCTGCTTATCACTCTGCTTGAATTAATACAACACTTGTACCTTCTCATTAAGAGACAGCTTGGGTATCTCCACCTGGCACTGCATTGTAATATGTAATATGTAGTCCTAGCCTTAATTTGCCTCCATAACATGTTCTGAGCTGAGCTGACAGTCAGATTCTAGTTTCTAAACCCATGCTGATGAATAATTGTGAAACAGTACTAAAACTACAAATTGATATGTAAAGCTACTTATTCATGTGCTCTGGGAGGTGGGGGGGAGGGGCACTTTAATTAGAGCGGCTGTCACATATATCAGCATCCCCACGATGAAAAATGGTGGCAGGGGAGCTGTAGCTAAAGCTTTTCGAACAAACTTTAAAGTGTCCCTGCTGCCATTTTTCAGCACGGGGATGCTGATACACATGACACTACACATGATGTGGTAATTACTACGCTCCAGGGGACTCAGTTAATCAAGTCTTCTCTGACACACTGTAATTACAGCATGTAAGAGCAGCCTTGATGTAGGTGCATAGCCACCCTAAGGGACAGATGGCTTCTGCAGGCTAGATAACCTTTCTTTTTGAGATGATAATCTAACCTAACCTAAACCTGAGGCCTGCAGCCTTCCATACTATAGAAAATAACACATTTATTATATCTGATTTCACCTGAATAGAGCCATGTGCACTTAGAATTAGCAGATATGGCCGTGGGGAAATCTTATATAAATATTCATATTTCCATGTAGTATTTTCCTATCTAAAAGCAGCACCATTTCAAAATCAAACCCATAAAAATTATAGTACGGATCAAGGTTTATGAAAGCATTATAATCATCATGTATCTTCATGTGGGACTAATCTCTCCAAAAAAGAAGCCGGAGCTTTTAAAAGCCTCTTATGTAAGCAAAACAGAACTTTTTGATATTTATTCAAGATTTTGAACCTGAACTACATTAAAGTAATGTAAGTTTATTCTGTTATGACAAGAACCAGATTCCTTAATCAAAGCAAATTGTTTTGGCATCCCTGTAAAATGATGATATTTCAAAAACTTGCAGGAGGTATCTTAATTACATTAGTTTGGTGAAGTAATTATTTTAAGGTCAGGTTGTGCTCTCAAACAGCAAACATCAGGAAAAAAATAACAGCATTTGAGCTGCCTAGTTGCATTCTTTTAATTAATTGGCATTGATCTGTGATACTCCCCTCATACAAATACTTAAAGAATAATAGCAGTGGTCTATTTCTAATTAAGAAGGGATAAGACTGTGTGAACTAGTTCTTGCTATGGGGCCATTCCCACTATGGCTGTGATTAAAAAAAGCTGTGGAGAGTTACTAATTTGATTTTTTCCATATGATTCCAAAAGTTAATAAGCAATTAATTTCTAATTGTTTCTTGCAACTATCAGGCTTTCTTTGTGACTTTCTTATGAAACAGTTTTGGATTTCAAAGAGAAATCTGTCATTGTTAACAGAAAAAAGATATAATTATTTAAAGTAGGAAGGAAAGGACAAAACCTGAAAACAACCTACTTACCAGGCTATGTCCATTTATGACTAACGCATAATCACCGGTGACAGTTACTTGAAAAACTGAGCCGTGGTTTAATTTTTCCTTTTTTTTACGGAATACATGACCATTGGAAAATCTTTCACTTTGTCCAAATAAACGTTCCTTTGCTTTCCTTAAAAGAAAAAGACAAAAATAGTATATGACACCTCATAACTTTAATCAGAGAATGCTTTTGAGCTAATTTCAGTTCTCCAAGGAAGATAGTTCTTTCAAATGGTGAGGCTCCTGTAGTATGTTTAACTCCCAGGAAATCTGTTGGGTAAGTATTAAGCAGTTGGGAAGAGAATCATCTTGAATGCTTTAAATAATTTAAGAGTTAAATAGCATGCTTAATCTGAGTTTGAATTGACTGACTGATCATCAGTTTGGTATTAAGATTTTCCAGGCTTCAAGAAAAGGATCGGTTTGACACACCAAATACTGTGGTTACATTTAGAAGAGTAAAGGATATTTAAAAAATATGAGGAAAATATTTGGCCAGAGACTCTGTGCAACAACAAGAATTCCTTTACTTTTAAACGTGTGTGTACACACATACATACCAGCCCACATTTACTTACAGCTACAGAACAGCATAACCTCAAACCTGTTAAAACCATACTATAAGTCCATTTACAAATTTACTTAAAAGCAGGTATCCTAAGCAAACAGGCCCAAACCAATGCTAAAATGAAATCTAGTCAATGAACCTATGGCAAGATGAATTAGCTCCACATCTGGGATTTGCTATGATCTCCATCTTGCCTCTGAGCTTGACGTCTGCAATTATCAAGAGTGAACCCATTAGGAGCTCAATCTGTCTGATATCACTGAACAGTCCATGTACAGATTATTCTCCTATTTTAGTGATGGATTATGTTATTTCCTTTGTTTATAGATTTGTATTTTGTCTGAGATCTTTTTATTATTGTTGCATTAGTCTTGGTTTGTCATGCTACTTTCAACTGCTTTATTTTAGATGATTTTGAAGGATGATTACTTTCACTTTTTAAAGAATTTTGCAGTATTGTACATCACATGACTGATACACAGCTGGCAGAATGGAGAGCAAATTTGCATTCTATAGACTAAATTAGAGATTTATAAGCAGCATAAGCTTTCACAAGCAGTGTGCTTGCTTCATCAGATTATCTAGAGCTGCTCAGTTTTAATTTATGAATACTGTATATTGCCTGGTTATTGGTGTGTTTGCAGCATGAACATATTAGGTTAGCTTAACACCAGGCTGTCAGGAAAAACAAGCAGAAAGGAAAATAACTCAAAATAAACCATTTTGATAAACACAAGGGGGTTATCACAGGACAATAGCAAAGCCACTGGCTTGACCTCCTGCTGAGTCTACCAGACTGATTTTGTCCAGAGAAAACAAATGGTAGGAATGGACAGCAATAAAAGAAATGTTGGCTGGAATATAAGCGATACACTGTCTCTCACTCACCAGAGCTGAAGTAGTTGTGGAGCTGTAATGGGAAACTAGACTACACAGGCACCCATTTGAGTTTTGAATAAAGTCCCCCTACATGTACCACCAGGATATTACAACTCCAGGTAAGATAGATAAATTGTCTATTGTTTTTCTCTAAATGCTTTGTTACAATTGTTAAGTAATACACTGATGTTTATAAAGGGCAATTTGTCACTGAACACCACTGGTAGACTACTGACTACCAGTTTAATGAGCATGTACATCTTCTATATGCTAACAGTTTAAACTCATTACATGAGCCCACACACCAGGTGTTGAACCCAGGTGGACCTGCTCAGTAAGTAAAGCAGTTCCACAAGGAGCTTGTGGCTGAGTTTTATAATGGAAGAATTATGGGATCCCTGCCTTGAAA